CAAAATAATTCCCTCTTTTCCACCCCAATCCCAAAACAATTCCCATTTTTTCACCTCATTCCCAAATAAATTCCCATTTTTCCACCCCCAATCCCCAAAAAATTCCTATTTTTCCACCCCATTCCCAAAAATCCCCCCTGTTCCACCCCCATCCTGAAAAATTCCCATTTTCCCACCCCATTCCTGAACAAATTTCCATTTTTCCACCCTAATCCCAAAAAAACCTCCCATTTTTCTGCCCCATTCCCTAAAAATTTCCACCCCATTCCCAAAATATTCCCGCTTTTCCCCCAGGAAAATACTTTTTCCCAGTTTTGTTTCCCCTTTTTTTTTCCCCATATTTCCCCATTTTTCCTTCTTTTTCCCATTTCCCATGGAATTTTTTAGGATTTGGGGTGGGAATTGGGGGTTTTCTCCCTTTCCATGGAATTTTCCAGGATTTGGGGTCAGAATTGGGATTTTTCTCCTTTCCCACAGAATTTGGGGTTGGAATTCAGGTTTTTCCCCTTTCCCATAGAATTGGGGGTGGGAATTGGGGGTTTTCCCATTTTCCATGGAATTTTCTGGGATTTGGCCATTTGGGTTTTTTTTTGTTTTTCCATGGATTTTTGGGAGATTTGGGATTTTTTGGGTTTTTCTCCTTTCCCATGGAATTTGGGATCAGAATTGGGGTTTTTTCCCCTTCCCATAGAATTTTCTGTGATTTCGGATTTTACTCCATTTCCGTGGGATTTTTTTTTGATTTTGGGTCAGAATGGGATTTTTCCCATTTCCCATGGAATTTTCCAGGATTTGGGGTCAGAATTGGGGTTTTTCTCCTTCCTATGGAATTTGGGGTTGGAATTCAGGGTTTTCCCATTTCTCATGGAATTTGGGGTCAAGACTGGGGCCTTCCTCCTTTCCCACGGAATTCGGGGTGGGAATTGGTTTTTTTCCCCTTTCCCACGGTATTTCCCAGGATTTGGGGTTTTTTTTCTCCCCAGATCCTGACACCGGCCAGACCCCAGGAATGTCCCCATCCCCTTTTCTGGGAAGCACCAGCGGCAGCCCCGGGCCCGACCCTAAAATTCCCTTTTTTTCCCATTAAAAAAAGGGGAATCCACAAGGAGTTTGGGATCGTTTTTTATCCTAAAAAATTCCTTTCATTTGGGGCAGGAATGGTGTGGGAATGGGGATTTTGGGGTGAGATTAGGGATTTGGGGAATTTTGGGGTGGGAATGGGAATTTTGGGGTGGGAATGGGGATTTTGGGGTAAGAATGGNACCCCAAATTTCCCCCAGGGGCTCAGCCCGGGCTGTTACGACACCTACAACGCCGACATCGACTGCCAGTGGATCGACATCACCGACGTCCCGCCCGGGAACTACATCCTCAAGGTGACATTTGGGGACATTTGGGGACAGTTTTGGGGTCAAAACCCCAATTTTGGGGTCAGAATTCCTGATTTGGGGGTCTCAATTGCCGATTTTGAGGACACAACTCCTGGTTTGGGGGTCAGAATTCGCAATTTTGGGATCAGAATTCCCGGTTTTGGGATCAGAATTCCCGATTTTGGGACCAGAATTCCTGATTTTGGGGTTGGAATTCCCAGTTTTGGAGTCAGAATTCCCAGTTTTGGAGTCAGAATTCCCGGCTTTGGGGTCAGAATTCCCGGTTTTGGGGTTGGAATTCCTAGTTTTGAGGTCACAATTCTCAGTGTTGGGGTCAAAATTTTGGTTTGGGGTCAAAACCCGATTTTGGGTTGGAATTCCCAGTTTTGGGGTTGGAGCAGGATCTTTCCATCATTGGGGTTTTTTGGGGGGTGATTTTCCCATTTTTTTCCCAATTTTCCCTGTGTATTTTGGGGGTTTTCCCCCTGATTTTCCCTTTTCCTCTTTATTTATAGGATTTTTCCTCCTGAGATTCTTCCTCTTTATTTTTGGGATTTTTTCCCACTTTTCCCACATTTTGAGCTCCAGCCAAATCCCAAACCCCAAATCCCAAATCCCCCATTCCCACTCCCCCAAGGAGATTTTGGGGGCCATAATTCCCAGTATGGGATCATTTTGGGATTGGGGCTGTTCCTTTGAGAATTCCTTTAGGAAATCCCCATTTTTGGGCCGATTTTTCCCATTTTTTTTTCTGGAATATTTTTCCTGACCGATTTTTCCCGTTTTCCCCATTTTTAGGTCCAGGTCAATCCCAAATATCAGGTTTTGGAGTCAGATTTCACCAACAACGTCGTTCGCTGCCACATCCACTACACCGGGCGCTTCGTCTCCGCCTCCAACTGCCGCATTTCCCAGTAAGGAACCCTGATCCCAAAATAATTCCCTCTTTTCCACCCCAATCCCAAAAAAAAAGCCATTTTTTCACCTCATTCCCAAATAAATTCCCATTTTTCTGCCCCATTCCCCCCAAAATTCCCGTTTTCCATCCCATTCCCAAAAACATCCCATTTTTCTACCCCCATCCTGAAAAATTCCCTTTTTCCACCCCATTCCTGAACAAATTTCCATTTTTCCACCCCATTCCCAAAAAAATTCCCATTTTTCTGCCCCGTTCCCAAAAAATTTCCACCCCATTCCCAAAAATTCCCATTTTTCCACCCCAATCCCAAAAAAAAATCCCATTTTTTCAACCCCATTCCCTAAAAATTTCCACCCCATTCCCCAAAAATTCCCATTTTCCCCATTCCCTAAAAACTTTGACCCCATTCCCCGCCAAACAAATCTGGTTTTCCACCCCGTTCCTCAAAAATTTCCACCCCATCCCAAAAAAATCCCCGTTTTTCCATCTGCAACCCTAAAAAATTCCCATTTTTCTGCCCCATTCCCTAAAAATTTCCACCCCAATCCCAAAAAAATTGCTGGTTTTCCACCCCATTCCCAAAATATTCCCACTTTTCCCCCAGGAAAATACTTTTTCCCATTTCTGTTTCCCCTTTTTTCCCAAATTTCCCCATTTTCCTTCTTTTTCCAATTTCCCATGGAATTTTCCAGGATTTGGGGTCAGAATTGGGATTTTTCTCCTTTCCCACAGAATTTGGGGTTGGAATTCAGGTTTTTCCCCTTTCCCATGGAATTTGGGGTTGGAATTGGGGCTTTNTTTTTTCCCATTAAAAAAAGGGGAATCCACAAGGAGTTTGGGATCGTTTTTTATCCTAAAAAATTCCTTTCATTTGGGGCAGGAATGGTGTGGGAATGGGGATTTTGGGGTGAGATAAGGGATTTGGGGAATTTTGGGGTGGGAATGGGAATTTTGGGGTGGGAATGGGGATTTTGGGGTAAGAATGGGGATTTTGGGGATTTGGGGGTGGGAATAATTCAGAATTCCTGGATTTATGGGGAATTCTGAGATTTATTGGGAATTCTGGGATTATTTATTGACAATTTCATGATTTATTGACAATTCCTGATTTTATTGACAATTCCTGGTTTATTTATTGACAATTCCTGTATTTCCCAGGTATTTTTTCTGGTATTTTCCAGGATTTCCGGTATTTTTGGGATTTCCAGGATTTTCTGGGATTTCYGGTATTTTKGGGATTTGGGATTTATTGGTGATTTGGGGTTTCCTGTCGCTGTGTCTGGCAGCGCCCCAGGGCCAGCCCGGCTCCGGCCACYGCRGCCACYGCGGCCACCACGGCCACCGCCCAGGCCAGCGCTGTCCCCAGGGTCACCGCGGGGGCCACACCTGGGGGACAGCGAGGGGTCACAAATGGCACCGGGGACACCCCAATGTCACCCCAATGTCACCGATGGCACCAGGGACACCTCCAGTGTCACCCCCACTGTCACCCATTGTCACCCACAGTCACCCAGTGTCACATGGGGTCACCCACAGTCACCCACAGTCACCCAGTGCCATCTCCATTGTCACCCACTGTCACCAGCTGTCACTGTCACCCATTGTCACCCAGGATCAGTGACTGTCACCCATTGTCATCCATTGTCACCCAGTATTACCCAGTGCCATCCGCATTGTCCCCCAGTGTCCCCCAGTGTCMCCCAGTGTCACCCATTGTCCTCAGTGTCACTCACAACTGTGTCGCTGTCCCCCTGTCCCCGCTGTCCCCCAGTGTCACCCAGTGCCACCCCCAGTGTCCCCAGTGTCACTCACGGTTGTGTCCCTGTCCCCGCTGTCCNGAGAGCCGCGTCATCGCCGAGAGTGAGAAACGGCCCCAAAAAAACCCAAATTCCACCCAAAAATCGCCTCCAAAAAGCCCCTTAAACCCCCTCGAGAGCCGCGTCATCACCGAGAGTGAGACCCCACCGCAAAAACCCCAAAAATCCCCCAAAATCCCCTCAAAAATTCACTCAAAAATACCCCAAACACCCCGAGAGCCCCGTCATCGCCAAGAATGGGACCCCGACCCCAAAAACCAAAAAAATCCCCCCAAAATTTCTTTAAAAAATTCCCAAAAATCCCCTACCCCAGCCCTGTCATCATCGAGAGTGAGCCCCGACCCCAAAACCCCCCAAAAATCCCAAATTCCCTGATTTTGGGGGTCCCTGCCTGGTTGGGGTGGGGGTCCGCGGATATTTTGGGTTTCCCGGGAGTTTTGGGGGGGTCAAAGGAGTCCCCGGTCCGGGGTTCTCCGGGTATTTTGGGGTTCCCCCGGATATTTCGCGTTCTCCCCGGATATTTTGGGGGTCCCCCCATATTTTCGGATTTCCACCGATATTTTGGGGATGGTCCAGGATATTTTGGGGTTCCCCCCGAATATTTCGCGGTTTCCCCAGATATTTCGGGTTTCCCCCAATATTTCTCGGTCCCCCAATATTTCGGTGTTCCCTGGATATTCCGGGGCTCTCCGGGTATTTTGGGTTCCCCCGGATATTTTGGGGTCCCCCGGATATTTCGCACTGTCCCCCCGATATTTCGTGTTTCCCCCAATATTTCGCGGTTTCCCCCTCAGATATTTCGGATTTCCGCCGATATTTCGCGGTTTCCCCAAATATTTCGCGGTCCCCCAATATTTCGGGTTTCCCCCGATATTTCGCGATCCCCCCGAATATTTTGGGGGTGCCCCCGGATATTTTGGGGTGCCCCCAGATATTTCGCGATCCTCCCAATATTTCGCAGTTTCCCCAATATTTCGGGTTTCCCCCGATATTTCGCGATTCCCCCGAATATTTGGGGTGCTCCCCTATATTTTGGGGGTGCTCCCCGGATATTTTCGGGGTCTCTCCGGATATTTTGGGGTCCCCCTGAATATTTCGGGTGTCCCCCAATATTTCGGGTTTCCCCCGATATTTCGCGGTTCCCCAATATTTCTGGTTTCCCCCAATATTTCGGGTTTCCCCCAATATTTCAGGTCTTCCCCGCTATTTTGGGGTGCTCCAGGATATTTTGGGGGTGCTCCCCGGATATTTCGGGGTCCCTCCGGATATTTTGGGGTCTCCCCCGATATTTCGCGATCCCCCCAATATTTCGCGGGTTTCCCCCGAATATTTCGCGATCCCCCCGAATATTTGGGGTGCTCCCCAATATTTCGGGTTTCCCCGCTATTTTGGGGTGCTCCAGGATATTTTGGGGTGCTCCAGGATATCTTGGGGTTCCCCCAGATATTTCGCGATCCCCCAATATTTCGCGGTTTCCCCCAATATTTCAGGTTTCCCCCGATATTTCGCGGTTTTCCCCCAATATTTCGGGTTTCCCGGATATTTCGTGATCCCCCCCGAATATTTTGGGG